TTAAAGGATTTTCTCTGTAATTGTTAGCTTCATTATTGTTATTGTCTACAATGAACTAAAATAAATAAATAAATTTATATTTGTGTGAATTTAACAAATTTTAAAAGTGTAAATACTACCAGTGGGTTACTATCAGTCGTATAAAATGATTGCCATTAATGACATTAATGACAATTAAGTATTTATTTCATTTAAATATATGCGCATGAATTTGTTTAATTATATATACAAATATTTATGTGTCACCTGAAATTGTCAACCTGTTGGTATTGCTAATAAACATATCCATTATTTATCATTTTTTGTCTTTCATTGAAATCTCGATTTCTTGCCTATTTGTTATTGAAATTTAAAAAGTTTTTTTTTTTTCTTTTTAAAGAAAAATTTGTTATTTTAACAGTTCAATAATTGCTTTCCAATAATTTTAATTAATATGTGATTATTGTTGATTACTTTCTCAATGAATGAAATTTTATTTAAAATCAGTAATAATAATAAGAAAAAAAAAAAATCTTTTTTTTTTTCGTAAAATTAATTTCCAATTATTTCTTTCTGCGAGTGTCGCGAATTTAAATTATTATATGAGAGTTTAAAAATATGAGTAAGAAATATGTTGTATGAAATTTTACAAGTAATATCTATACCTTGATAATTCATATACTTTAATATGAATTTCTATTAATACTTTTCTCAGGTGTGATTTCTTTTTTTTTTCTCTCAATCAAATTCATAATACGGTATTAATTTGAGGAACTATGTGAGAGTATTATTAAAATTTTACGGTCATTTAGTAGAAATTGCCCGCAGAGAGTGACAAAGACATTCATCATTGTCTTCAAAGAGATTTATAACTTTATATTCAGCCAAATCATTCAGTTTTTTCTTTTTTTTTTTTTCCTGCCTAGAATGGCATTATTTGGCGCTAGTTGACAATTTCATTTATCATTATTATCATGCAAATATAAGTGATAACAAATAATTTAGTAGACTATAAATTAATTTCATCAATAATTTGGTGGAATATAAATTAGTAGAATGTAAATTAATTTCATTAATAATTTGCAGCAATTTTAGTTGATAAATTTGTATAATTTGTAAATGATTTGTAAGAATGAAATGAAATATTATATTAGTTCAATTATTAAATTTTGAAAGAGATAATGAAACTGATAAGCAGCAGTTTATCAAATACATTCTGTTTACTCGTCATTTCAGTAATTATTTTGATTTTTTTTTTTATTCAAATTATAGCTAAATTCATTTTTATAACAATTATTAACTGTTATTTGTAATTCAAAATCATTGCTATGAGTTAATCAAATCACTCATATTTTACTTTCAACTCAAAGAAAAAAAAAAAGGAAAAAAATTTGAAATTATAAAAAAAAAAAAGGAAAATTATTTTTTCATTCCAGCAAATTTGTATTGATTTTTTTTTTCTTTTTTTTGTTATAATAAATTTGCAAACAAGAAATTGGTGCAAATTTGCAGGTAAATGAGAAAGGGCGGATAATAGTTAGAAATGTGTGTGTGTGTGTGTTCATATTTTAGCCCTGCTTTAGTGACCTTTGCACTCACCTTTTCTCGAATTGACCATGACCTGACCTTTAACAAACATTATTCATTTCCATAAAAATAAAGAAAAGAAATTGGTACAATGATTTCGATAATTAATAATGGAATGATAAAATAATAATAATAATAAAACAGTAATAACGGTAATAATAATAATAACAATAATATTAATTATAAACAATAGTAGCAATGATGATATTAATAACAGTTAGTAATAATGGCATGAATGATGATAATAACAATATTTACTGATAATGAGCATAATGATAACAATGTTAGAAAGTTCATGTTACTTCATTATATTCAAACTGTCAGTAATACCATTATTACTATTATCATTAATTATTCCAACAATTAAAATTACGTTATCGTTAATTTGTTATTAATATTTGGTATAAATATGCTCCAAAAAATGTTTTTCCTTTTTTTTTCTATAGAACCGGTCTTATTATTATCATTATTATTATTATTATCATCATTTATATCAATCGAATGTGCTCTTTGTGCTATTTTATTTCACATTTCTTACTCTTTTCAATCAAATTTGCTATTAATTAAAATTTTTTTTTACCTCAAATATCAATAATTATGATATATAAATATATAATATTTTAATTTTAATATTTTTCAATTTCATTCTTGTTTGTGTTGTTATACGAAACATATTTTTATTTAGACATTTAATGATGAGTGAAAATTTTTGCAAAATTTAACTCGCAAAAAACTAACAGGAATGTAAAATGAATAAACAAATGCAAATAAACAAAATAGATTATAACAGAAGTTAGAAATAATATGAAAAAAAAAAAAAAAAAACATTTTAGTCTTTAAAAATTATCAATATAAATAGTTATCATTGACTTTTTCAAATTTAATTCATTTTTTTTTTTTTTTTTTAATAATTTTTAATGAAATAAAAATCACATTGAAAACATTTGAGAAGAATTAGGAAAAGAAATAATTTGGAGGCCATTTTACATACAAATCCTGTTCTTCTAATTTCCTCGGTGACAGAAGCATGATCGTTATGTGACTGTCATCACACATACACACCCACACACATACCTACATACACATACATACAGACATGTGTATGTTCCTTCAAATAACTATCGATGGTAACTTCTTCCCGTAAACAGCTCATCAATTGCTTTAATTGATTCTCCACTTTCTTACATTTCATTTCATAGTGATATTTTAGTACCACCACAAACTATCATTTTGATATCACAATGATTTATTTACTATTTATTCATCATTAAGAGAGATTACCGGGATTATCATTATCATCTATTATTAACATCATCATCATCATCACTATCATTATCATTATTATTCCAAATTATTTGATACAGCAAGTTTAGTTACAATGACAATATTAAATGTTCAATACAGGTAAATAATGTAGTATATAAATAGATAAATAAATAATTAAATAATATCAAATAATAAATAATGTATTGAATGCAGATAAATAATATACAAATAGATAAATAGTTAAATAATATCAAATGGTAAATAATATGTTGAATGCAGATAATATACGAATGGATAAATAATTTAATAGTAATTAAATAGTAAATAATATATTGAATATAGGTAAATAATATAAATATAGATAAATAGTTAAATATCATTAAATAGTAAATGATATACTTGATTACAGATAAATAATAATAAATTTGATTGTTAAATAAATTGTTAAATAGTATTAAACAATAAATAACATATTGAATATAGATAAATAATATAAATATAATATATAATAGTTAAATATCACTTCAAATAGTAAATGATATACTTGAATACAGATAAATAATAATAAATATAAACAAATTTTTAAATAGTATTAAGCAATAAATAATATATTGAATATAGATAAACAGTTAAATAGTATATAAAATGAAAATTTATCTCAAAAATTTCAGCGTAATCCAAGAGAAGCATTATTATTTAAACAAAAAAAAATTATTACAATAGTTATGAGAAGATTAATTAAATTGTAATTCATTTAAATTAATTATTCTTAGCAAAGTGAACAAATATAAAATAATGTTTTTATTGGTTTATATTGAATTTTCTAGGATAAATCTTGAAATTTATGCTTTTTTGTGCTGCAAGTAATTTTACAATATCATTAAAATTAAAGATATCATAACAGAATTTTATTTGTAATATTTTTGAATTTAAAAAAAAAAACAAAAAAAAAAAAAAAGCAGAGAATTCTTTCTTTTATAAACAATATATTAAATCGTTAAATAATATTAAACGCTGAAAAAAAAAAGGAGTTAACATAAATTAATAACATAATATGCTAATTTTAAATTTTGTTAATTAACAAATATTACAATCATTAAGCAATATTAGCGGTAATATTTTCATTTATTATAAAAGAGAAAAAGAAAAAATTATTTTCACATACTGATAGTAAAATATAGCCAAAGAATTTGAATTAAAAAAATTTAAAAAAAAAAAAAAGAAAAACAAATTTATAAGTATTATTAATATTAGTAGAATAATCATAATTACTTTATACAAAATATTTTTCAAATTAACATTTTCTCATCATATTTTTCCTCAAGCACTTCCATTCATTCGTTCTTGACCTATATAAAATCATATCATTTTCCATCTTCTCTTCTTCATTTTCCTTACATCTCATCCAACTATCTAACCCTCTTTTCTTCCTCTCTCTTATCTTTTCTCAAAATTTCTCGTTCTAATTTTTCCTCGAGAATTAATAATTGAACTTATTAATTGCATTCACATACATATTAATATCCGAGAATGAAGATGATAATTATGTTGTACTATTTTCAAACATATCATTATTATTAATACTCTAAATTAAAAGACAAATTTTGTTATGTTTTATTTTTAATATTATTATTAATTATCACTGTTATTAAATTTTATCACCATCCTTATTAACTAATATTAATCATTACAATTGTTAATTATTATCACATTCATCCTGCTTATTCATTTATAAATTTATTATAAACTTATAACTATTATGCACACATTTAATTATATCTGCAGAAAATGATAGTATTCATATAACTGTTAAATTGAATCATTTAAACTGATTTATACTTGGAGAATGTTTTCTAAAAGTTCAAAGGTCACCATATTGTTATTTATTAGTTATTAGAAAAGACAACATTAAAATAGCTTCATGTATTCATTATTAATGTTTACTTTTAAATTTGCTTTAAAAAATATAAGCAATAAATTTTATTTATGCTATTGACATTTTACAAATTATTTTATCATAATTCATATCTGTTATCAAATGATTAATTAACGTTAATTTGTTTGGTTTTGTTTTTTTTTTTAAAATGTTTAATTTAAATATTAACCTTTATAGGTTTTCCAACCTTTTTTTTTTGTTTGTTTTTTTTTTTGTTTTTGTTTTTTTTGCTATGGTGGCGGTACCATTCTGCCGTTGTCGTGTGCTTTATATTGGTAGCGCTGTACCAACAATAACCAAAGATGGACTACAAGGAATTCAACAACCGTTACGTGAACGTTATCCCATTGGTGGTAATATTGATACAAAAGGAATTGATTCCTGGTTTGTGTCCCCTGTCCTCTTTTTAATTTGTCAATTTATATTTCATAAAATCGTTATTCATCCAATTAACAAATTATGTACTTTAATTGTCAAAAAAGATTTTCTAAGATTTTTTAATTTTCAACAAAAAAAAAAAAAAAGCAAAGAAAATAAAAATTTTATAGGTTTTTTTTTTTTTTTTTTTTTTTTGTTTGGTACTACATTATTTGTTAAATGAATAAATGAAATTTTAATTGTTGAAGTGATTTTTTCAATAATTTAATTCAAGAAAAAGATTATTTTAAATTTTGAATTATTAGAATATTATAATATTGTAAATATAAATACAAATATTTTTATTAATGGATATTTTTAATTAGGGAAAAAAAAATTTTTCGATTCCTCCTTTCTTTTTCTTTTTTTTTTTTTTCCTAAATATAAATATTTTAGGTTAACAGTCTGATCTAATCGTTTATTATTAAAATATATTGTATTTTAGATTTTAAAGTGTTAGAATTTAATACTTTAAAAGTTTATAAATAATCAAATACTTTATTAAAGATAGTTTTTAATTAGGAAAAAAAAATTTTTTTTAAAAATATATAAATATTTTAGGTTATCAGTCTGGTCTAATGGTTTATTACTAGAATATATTGACGGTGATAAAAGAACTGAAACAGCATTTCATCCTATAAATTCACTTCATTATTGTGCAGCGGTACGATATGTTAATGTTACCGGATATGCAATTGAGGGTGGTGGTGAACGATTTCTACCGTTGGATTCACCATTTGCAACCGGTGAAGATAACCAACATCCACCAATTTTTGCTGCTATTTTCAGGAGAACTACCGGAATTAAGGTTAATTTTATATATAAAATGAAAAAAAGTATAATAATAATTTTGATAAATTATTGCAAAAATAAAAAAACCTTTGTTGCTATTTTCAGGAAAGCTACCGGAATTAAGGTTAATTTTATATATAAAAGAATGGAAAAAAAAAAAAAGAAATAATAATTTTGATAAATTTTTGCAAAAATAAAAAAACCTTTGCTGCTATTTTCAGGAAAGCTACCGGAATTAAAGTTAATTTTATATATAAAAGAATGAAAAAAAAAAAAAGAATAATAATAATAATTTTGATAAATTTTTGTAAAAATAAAAAAGCCTTTATATGACTAATATAGCAAATATTATCAAACAATAATAAATGATATAACTTTTTTTTTTTTCATATATTTTTAATGTTTACATAATATAAGGCGATGAACTTATTTTGCACTTTAAAATTGATCAAAATAAGTGCAAATTTTATTTCTATTTATAATAATTTTGACAAAATTTATAATTCATTATGATATGCTCAAAAATTTACTCAAATTGGTATTGTATTTAAAATTAAATTTAAAAATGAGAATATAAGTATTAATGGAAACAAGTGACTAATAATGCTGATAAGTTTTCTGTTCTTTTTTTTTATTTGTGTGATAACTTTTAACAATTGCGCAATAGAATGTTGATTTTTGATGAAAAATTTCTTAATTGATAATTGGCATTAAAGATTTGATAAATTAAATCTTTTTTTTTTAAAATAAATTTTACAACAAAATTTAAATTTCAAATCTTCAGGTATTGGTATTGCTCAAAAGGATTTAATTTCTTGCATAAAATTTAATTGCATAAATTAAATTTAAATTTTAGGTTCTTGAATGTCATGCATTTATATGTACAAATGCAAAAGCAGCAAATGCTCTTGTACGTTGCTGTTTTCATGCATATGCTGAATCAATGTATATTAAATTAGACGAACGATTACCTGCCCTAAAATCGATCAAAGAAGCTAGCAGAAGTGCTAGTCCACCAAGTGAACCACTTCCAAGGTGAACTAAATTTTATATATATAAGTTTAAATTTAATCAATCAAATTAATTCTTCCAACTGATAAACTGATAATTGCTAATAATATCTATTATTAGTTTAGATTAGTATGATAAATTTATCTAAGAGAATGATATAAAGGTATAACTTTTTGTAAAATTTAGTAGCTATGTTAGAATTAAAAGATTTATTTAAATATAAATGAAATCATTATAAATTAGATTATTTAAAAAAAAAAAAAAAATTAGACTAAATTAGATTATTAAGAAAATTTTTGGTAATTTTTTAAATTGCATTTTAAAATTGAATTAATTAAATTATTAATATTAGTGAAATCGAAGAAATAGCTGCAATCGAAGATGACAAAGAATTGGACCAACAACGATGGGCTGAACGAGCAATTGGTAAAGAAGCCTGGGAAAGGCGTCAACAATCAGGTGAATATGATTCGGCAAGTATCTCTTCATCAATTGCTAATCGTTTTCGAATTAAAAAACAGGAACGTGATCGAACAAATGGTTAATTTTTTAATAAATATTATTTTTTTATTAATTTTAATTAATTACAAAAAAAAAAAAGAAAAAAAATTTAATTAATTAGTTATTTTTTAAAGAGTGATAATATTTCAAAAATTATCACTTCTTTTTTTTTTTTCGTTTTTTTTGGTTTACGAAAAATTTTATAAGTATTTTATTAATTATATTTATTTCATTTTATTTAAATGTATTTACATCCAGAAATTAATACTATCCAGTATAGCACAGCTAGTAATACTATGTCGAACTATTTATCAATGAGAGCTTACAGAAATCAAAAAATGGAACTGAAAAATTGAATAGCTAACATTGATCTTTGGATCTAACTTGATAGTAGCATCCTGGATTACCCATTTAAATAATATTTAAATTAAATTTCAAGCTTGCTTTTCTCAAATATCTTACTTTATCATTAATTATTTATTTATGTATGTATGTGTGTGTGTGCTACCTGTTACTTTAAGGTTGAAAATTAAATTAGCTATCTTTAATTCTGCATCTTTATTTAAAAACGACGAAAAATGACTAGCGAATTAGTGGGAATTGGATAAAATAATTGATAAATTGGAAATTAATAACTGATAAGCAAGTTAAATAGCCTTTAGTTTTAAATAAACTAATAAATAATTGATAAATTGTAAATTTGATAACTGATAAATAAGTTAAATAACCTATAGTTTTAAGTAAACTGCAGCTTATCGAACTTACTAATCAACCAATATTATAATTCTTCCTAGATTTGCCCAAAAAATAATTTATCCATTTGCACATTCCCCATGTACTATGCCCAAGGTCATCTTGTGAATCATTAAGTGATGAAAAGCATCAAACATGAAAAATGATCGATTAATTAAGCCTTTTTTTTAAAAAAGTATGAAATGAAATAATCAGATTAGAGTGATAGTAGGAAATGATAAATAAAATTTTAAAATTAAATCAATCATATTTTAGAAAGGAAAAAGAGGGAAATATGAAAAAGAGAGAGAGAGAGAGAGAGAGAAATATTATTTGTTATAGTTTAGCAGACAGGCGATTTTGTAGTATGATCAAATGCCAAGGTCATCAAATTAAAACCTTTGATCAGGTATGATAAATAAAGCTAACTTGATTGACAATTAATGAGGTAGAATGGGTGACAAAAAATTTTATTGTAAAATCCCAATTTAATTAGCAATTTATTTTTCATCAATGAATAAATAAATTTACCAATTGGGTATCTTTTCTTAAGCAATAAAAAAAAAAAAAAGAAACAGTTCAAGGACTAATATCCGTTTCCTATTTTCTTTCTTTTTTTTTTTTTTTCGTACAAATTTTTGAAAAATTTTTTCTCATCCAAAATTCTTTTTAAAAAATTTTTCAAATTCCATTTCATTTCTTTCTCATTTCAAATAATTTTCTTCTATTTGCAAGAAAAAATATGATAAATAAATAAAAAATAAATAAATAAATAAAATAAAGAATTTGGAGAAAAAAATTAGTCTGATTTTTTTGAAAAATTAAAAATTCTCATATCAATTTCAATACTTCAATGCATTTGTTCAATTTTTGCATAACAAAACAAATTTACTTTCATTCGATAAATAATTCTGTTTGTTTCAACTGTAATTTTAACATTTTTAAAATTAAATTAAATCATTATATTCCGATTAAGATTTAAATTTTAAATGCTCTATTGCTATTATTTGACATTTTTAAATTTAACTAAATCATTGTATTCCGATTAATTATTCCGATTAAGATTTAAAATTTAAATGCTCTATTTCTATTATTTAACACTTATCATTATATTCCGGTTAATTATTCCGGCTAAGATTCAAATCTTAAGTGCTCCATTGCTATTTGCATTCTTTTGCATGTTCAATTGATGACAACTGAGCAAACAAAAATGTCAACCGAATATTTTCTTCTTTCATCGTTAGAGAATTATTATAGTAATGTACGAATTACGATAGTGTAATAATTGTGTTTGTGTCACCGTTGAACTCAAAAATCACATTTATGGTGCAGATATTTCAGGTCGTAAAAGTGATCCATCCTAAAATTTTTATATTTATATAAAGAGAGAGAGAGAGAGAGAGAGAGAGAGAGGAAAGGGAAATGGAAAAAAAGGGAGATAATTAGGAGTGATGAGAAGAATATTATCAATAATACAATTTATTGGTTTCTTTAGGATAAAAAGAAAACTTTTTAAAATAATCAAAAAGCTTATACTGTTGTAACAGAGATGAGAGAAGAGATGAAAAGGAAAAAAATTCATTAATAATATGAATAAATTAAATTTACAAATAATTTTCAAAATAATTTTGTAATGGTTTAATTAAAATTAAAAATTTTCAACTTAAACTATATGAAATAATTATTATTATTGTTTTTTTTTTTTGATTTTAAATTAAATTTATTTTTAGATTTAGATTTTTCGTAAAAAAAAAATCAATGGAAGAATTAAGATGATGAAAGTTTAATAATATATTACTTCTCATTCACTTAAATTTGAAAAAAAAAAAAAAAAACAAGAGTGATTTCAGGTGATCAAGCTTTGGTACCTTATGCAAATGGTACAGATTCATTTTCCCAACGGGCGGGTAGTGAAATTGGTATGGTATGCGGTGATAGCAGCGGTGAAACACCATGTCCTGGTATGTTAGCTATTAATTTTTGTTGAATTTTTGTTTGGGAAATTATTGAAAAATTAAAATTATATTCGTAAATTATACAGTAAAATATGGTTTTGTCAAGTCTAGGGAAAATTTTCAAATTTCGAATTAAATTTATAAATAGGAAGACGAAATATTGTAAAGGTTTTTAATTTTGCATATCTAATTACATTCTTCACTAATGGTAATAACTAATGTAATGAAAATAAATAAATATTTTAGGTATGTATCCAGGTATGCTACCGCCACATTTTCGTGGTGGATCATTGCCATTATCGCATATGATACCAGCACATCCATTAATACGGCCACCATTATTTGTACCATTTCCGCCACCGCCACCACCGCCACCGCATTTGCTACCACCAATGCATCGTTTTATGCCAATGATGGGTGCACCACCTCCAGCAAATTTTGGTACAGCTAAAAAATTTTTTTATAATGATTAGCAAGAAATATTAATTATTTGAGAAAAATATTAAAATAAAAAATATCGAAAAAAAAAATTATTAAAATAAACTTAGCAATATTTATGCTATAACTGTCGTAATTCTAGGAATGCCACCACATTTACCGCCTGGTATCTATCCTCTTCCGCCACCACATTTTGGCATATTACCGCCACGATTTATGACACCATATGGACCAATACCATCATCAATGGGACGACCACGAACACCACCTGATGGACCAATTATCACCGGTCCAGAATCAGTATACGGTACGCTACCAAGAAGACCGGCTTATGAAGAACCCATTTATATGCCCGGAAGTGCACCGTATATGCCACCACAAGCAAGTTATCAACCAGGAAATTATCTAACTGATCAATACGATGCTTACTATGATTCTCTGAAGAGGCAACGAAGCCCACATCAAAACAATAAGGTTAGAAGATTAACCATTTGACCTCTAGAATGGTTTTTTTTTTTTTAGAAACTGTTATGATTGTTATACATTGAAAATATAATTAAATTTTTAATTTCAACAAAATCAAAATGTAATTTCATCTTTTCAGCAATGAATGAAGAAGGATGGCAATGGTAAGGTTAATTTAGTATCTGTAAAATTTATCAAAGAGTTAAATAAGTAAAATTCCAGGTATGAAATTACAGGGATCTGCTGGTGGTGCTGAATCTCAGACAAGTTCGAGACGTGCAGTAGCTACAACAGAAAATGATGATTCATCACAATTTTGGGATTCTTATGAAGCTAGCATATATCGAAAACCACATTTAAATGAGAAGGTTGAAATTTTCACCTCAAATTGAAATGTTCGATATGGCTAATGCTACTAGAGGAAAGTTAATTAGTCTTAATTATTTATTTATTTATTTATTTATTTATGAATGATAATTGTGCTATTAACTTTTTGAACAATTTAAAAAAAAAAAATTCAATAAAATTGTGAGTAAGAACTGAAAGAAGTAGTAGAGAATTATGAAAGATTGATTGATTAATTGAAATAGATTAGAATTTAACGAGCAAAAGGTTAAATAATTTGCAAAAAATTTATAAGTTTGAAAAAAAAAAAGAAGATATGAAATTATAAATTTCAAAGGATTTGTAAAATTGAAAGTTATAAATGATAGTTATAATCATTTAAATAATATAAAAATGAGTGTTAATAAGTTAAGTTAAACTTTTTTCCACCAAGCATTCTAAGAAGAAAAAAAAGAAAAAAGCTGAAATAAGAAGTATTTAACCCTCTTTTCACATTAATTTATCCAAATGAAGATGTGATATTCTCATTATCAGTTATCAACTAATCAAATTAATTACTTAATTAAACTTCCACATATTATTTCATTTGTAAACTCTGAATAAATATGTAATTAATTAAATGAGATAGTTAGAATAACAAATTATACATTTTATAAATGAAAAAAATTAATGAAATAAAATTTCAAAGCAAAAAAAAACAGATTCCAAACAAATTTATATCTCTAACAAATATTTCTTTCTTTTTTTTTTGTCATATTTGTTAAATTAATTCTTTGTTAATTAAATTAAATTAAAAAAAAAAAAACAAAAACAAAATTTTTTTATAGGCATTTTCGGCAACTGCGCGTTCAATGCCAACAGCTACAACTGTTATAACTACCAATCATAATCATTCAAATACAAATAGCATAAATCATCAAAGTACAGCAACAAAAACAACAACAACAACAGCAACAACAACAACAACAACAACAACAACAGGATTGGGAATTGGTACAATGATACGAGAAACAGTTGACATTGTTGCAAGGCCTAAAACACCACCTGCTGATTATGATACAGCATTTAGTGAAATGCATATAAGTAATAATACTAGTAATAATAACAATAATAATAAACATCAACGTACTACAGCTGTTATTTATTGAATAATTGTTAAATTAAATTATAGATTATGTAAATTTTTTCAAAATATTAAAAAAAAAAATTCTTTTTTTTTTTTTTGCCTCTTTTAAATGTCTGAAATTTTATAAATTTTGTAAAAATTTCCATTAAAAAAATATTATCAATAATAATATTTGTACTAAAAAAAAAAAAAAAAAAAATATCATTTGGTAAATTATTGTGAAAAATTCAACACTGAAGTTTCGTTTTTTTTTTTTTTTTTTTCAAAATTAGAATAATTTTTAGTCAATGTTAGACTATGAATTACATGCCATATTTGTTCAATATTTATGCAATATATTTGCTAAATATTTCTTTTTTTAAATTTTTCTTTTTTTTTTTTTCTCCTTCCTCTTTGACATTTCAAATAGTATTGCTAAATGATAATAAACAAAAATGTTACACTTCATTGGATCATTAAATGCAAGTATAAAAACAAAAAAAACAAAAAAAAAAACAAAAAAAAAAAAAAAAAACCTAAATTTATCTCTCTCAAACATTTTCATTTTCTTAAAAAATATTTTACTATTTTATCCGATCTTCTTCATAAATTTATATTTTCTCACTTATTATGATACATCAAAATTATGATAAAAATCTGATTTTTTTTGGTAATTTTGTAAAAATTCCTTCCAAGTACTTCTACATTTCTTATTATTCATTTGCTTATCATTGTTATTTTAATAATGTGTGATATTTATCTTACTATTATTATCATTTGATAATTCATTAATTGTAGCATCTATATGAGATAAGAAGCCAAATTATTTCATATATAAATTTCAATTCCTTATCAGCTATATTTCAATTGTTAATCTATCAATTAGTTGGCTGAATCGTGTAGATGTTTGTTTTATTTTCGTTGTAATCAACTTGGCAGAAAGATAATTGCTGCATTATATGCAATTTCGATTTGCATATAGTTGAAATTTTATCAATAAAATTGGTGATTATGTGTATGTTTTTATAACAATAATGGTTTTTGTCCTCATAATATGAATCATTGATGTGTAAATTCACTGAAATATCCTTTCAGGTAAAAGCAAACAATGTCAAAGTTGCTTTTGCGCAAATGTTACAAGCAATAATGCGATCTGTTCGAGCTATATTCAACTGTTATCATTTTTCACTCAACAAATAATGCAATTATTTTATATACCATTAGCACTAACCATCTAGTTTCATTTCTAAGTGAACATTTGGCAACATTTGAAATATCAAATAAATTTAATGATTAGTTTAATTTGAGGTTAAAGAAACTGTGTATTACTGGACTTTATTAATTTATTTAGAACTCTACCATACGATCCCAAATTTGTTATTTCGAGTGAGCTTTACAGGATTATCAGTCGAAGCTAAACTATATGCAAGATTATCAAAACCACTAAATATTAATGATTTTAAATAAAGTTTACTTGAAATCAACGTTTAGTATTCACTTAAAAAAGAAAACTTATGTCCAGTATCCAACTCTTACAAGTAAATTAGGGAATGCTAATAAATGGAATGAAACAGCACATATAGCAAAATAAATACTCAATAATAGCAAATTCCTACACAAGACAGCAATCAAGATAGAATCGGAAACGATTTGATATTTTTAATATTTCTAAAAAAAAAAAGAAAAAAAAAAGTTAATCATAAATTATCACTTAAAACAATTTCCCGGTCATTTAAAGTAAAAAATGCAACACTGTTTTAACAAATGTTATTCCAATATAATCATATGTAAAAAAAAAATGACGTTTACAAAGCCAAAGAGCTATGCAATTTCTGTGTTTGAGCGACACATAAAGATTTGCATGAATTTATTATCGAATTCTTTCAATTTCATGAAGAAATAATCAGCTGATATATTTCATTCATATTCGCTGTTGCTGCAGTATGACGTGATTTCAAAGATAACTGAAATGAAATGAGAAATAAGTGGAAAATATTCATGAGAAAGAAAACATAATGCAGTAATAATTGTGTAAAAGTATGCAAGCATTATCATTATAATAGAATTTTATGATAGAAAATTGACCAGTAGAGAAATTACACGAATTGATCCATCATTTTTATAGCAAGAATTGATCCATTTGATCAATACATTAACACTAACACACTAAATAGTGGATACATATATATATATATATATTTTATACTAGAAAAAGAAAAAAAAAACTTACTGTAAGTGGCTGTGATGTTTCCTGCATTTTTAGCTCCGAAAGAACATAGATCTGATTGGTATACTTAATTGAATGATAAAGTAATTCTTGTCCTTCTACATTTCGACGAGCAACTGTGAATACATTATTTTGTTGCAACTTAGTACATATGTCATCTGTAAAAATAATCTTTGAAAAGATCTGAAAAGCAAAAAGTCTTCCGCGTTATCTCAATTTATTAAACTAAAAACTTGAATTATAGAATTCTGACTTAACTTTACTAGAAAAATTCTTTTTTACAATTTCCTGTTTTTTTCTCTTACTACTTACTATTTTTTATACTATTATTCTACTCTTAAGTACTATTATTATTAACTATTTTATGAAAGGATATAAAAATAAAAGTTTCTTGACCAGTAGATTGAAACATGTAAAATGCATTTTTATTGTGAGAATAACAGACTACTGATAATAAATTTGAAGTGGACTAAAAGATACTGCTATCATTCTCCTAAATTTTATTATACCTTATCCTACTATTCTGTTGAACAGCTGATTTTGATTGAAATATCTCGCTAATAAGCAAAAATATGCAATGTACGCTTATTGGGGTAATATGTATGGATCTACTACTTCTGAATAGGACGAATACATAGCAGATCTACAAATAATTCAGAGTTGCAATTGAAAAACTATGTTAACGTTTCTAATCAAAATCATTATGATAAGACCTAACAACTAAAAACAGTAACAAACCTGCACTAAGACCTTTAACATTATTGATGGCAAATTGTACTTCATTCTGTTCCGGTATTTCTTTCCACATTTGTAAGAAATCTCGCTTATCCATCTGACCACTTTCATCAAAATACATGTTTAACGGTACGATGGTGGCAAAGTAGAACACACCAACATCATTTTTTATAGCCACCTGAAATTAAAAAAAATACACCAAATATGGATGGCATAAAGGTTAATTAATCAGGCTTTTGAAACTTTTCGAACAAATTTGCAGATACAATTAAAGATAAGCAGAGCATATGAGCTATTTCATGCTATCGTTCAACATTTATTCTAATCTAATCGATACTTGTCTTATATGAAATATATAAAATAAAAGGCAAATACGTTACTAAAAATCATGTTAAAATTAACATTTGTTTGAGCTTATGTTAGATGTAAAAACAAATGCAAAAAATATGCTATAAAATATAAGTTTCTCGAATAAGGTTAAAGAGATCTACATATTAAACATCTACTTTTTTTTAAACATTTACTTTTTTTTTAAGATTAACATTAGAAAAATGGCTCAACTACCCATTTATTATGTTAACAATGATCTGTACAAAATGGATAACAGTTTTTTTTTGATGTAAAAAAAATTACAATAAAGCTACTTTAACTTATGTTCTAACTTTGAAGTAACTCTCAATGCTGACTCTCGTTCCAACTGTCTTACCTACCAGACAATCTTAATAATGGAATTATCTATGCTTTTTATAAAACAGCAACAAAACATTTTAAACACTAAACCTGTAAATTAGTAAGAGGTTCCATTTTCTGCACTGGACCATTTGTATGGCATGGAAGTGATGTCTGTACTGATTGATTAGGGTAAAGTGGTGAACTTATTTGAAGTGGTTGCGCTGGAATTAAACCAAACCTAAAATATAAAAAAATTTTTTCTTTGCTTTAGAAAATAACAATTGGTTATTTCCTTTGTTTATTTTTGTCTTCTCAACCAAACAGTCTTAAATTAACTATCATTATATTAAAAATCAATAGAACAGTTTCTGCAAAGTCTGTTTCTAATATTTTCAAAAAAATAAAAAATAAAATAAATAAAAAAACAAAAAAGCAGCTAAAGATTAATTCCCAAAAATGTTCCAGTAAGTAAAATATTTAAAAACAACACATTTCAACTATTATTAAAGAGATTAATATGCATTGAAAGCTTCTATGCATGTCAGATGCATAATATTATCAACTACCACTTACGAATTCTTGTTAAATTGAATAGCAAATCCACTAAAAGGCTGCATTGCGCGGTTCGTAAAGACCATATCCATGTAAATTTGTCCACCACGACGAACGAAAGTTCCTTCAATTTGTGTGCCCTTACCTTTACTAGCCTCCAACCAAACCTGAATTTTTAAAATGACCAATTTCGAAAATTATAATAACCGAAATACAGATAAGCACAAAAATAGAAAGGAAATGGTTTATAAGAAAAATGAATAGCAATTTTGAGCACAAAAAAAAAAGGTGTAATCATATCCCAGAATTATTAGATGAATTAATATTAGTCAGTAAATACAAGAAAGTGATAAGCTAAAAAACCTGCTATTAAATATCTAAAAACACAAGATTTGAAAAGCTTGCAGTTTTTGGCGCTACATATCCCGTTTGACCAGAGAGAAGTGGCGCACCCATTACAGGTCCACCAAAAAGGTCATTCAAATTGGTAAATGGATTGGAAACGGCAGTAGTGATTGGAGCCGATGATGGTAAACCGGTTGATGGAACTGCTGTCTGGAATGGCTATGAATATTACTCGATTCAAATAAACATATTTAGTCAATTCAAACCAGGTTTTAAACTGAAAATTGTTTTAGTACATGACTTTTCTCTTGCTTTAAAGAAATGTTTTTGGATTGAATTTTATCGATAGCTATAATCAAACAAACAAAACAGCAAAAACAAACCTGCGCAAAAGGAAATGTAGGTGCAGGAGGGATAGATACTGGTGCGGGAGCACCAAAAATCCCTCCAGTATTTGTCTGAGGAAGTGATGCTTGAGCTGGTATTGTAGGTGATGAACTTGTCCCGCCAATATCACCGAGCAATCCATCAGATCCAAGACCTAACAAGTCATCCAGACCGGAAGACATCGGTGCTGGTTGATACGAGTCCATACCTATATTTCAATTAAAATCAAAAATTGGTTGCAACAAATGTAGAATAATATATTTTTTTTTTAAAAAAAAAAAAGTAAAACATTTTAAAATTCGCATCTCGAAAGATCTTAATAAAACTTAAACTGCACTTTTTTTTAAAATCTTCTACATACTATGTATAAAGATATTGTATTACCATGTGCAGTGGCACCAGTAGTTGGTACCGACAAATCAAGCGATAAAAGATTAGCAATTAATGTATCCTGAGATGGTATTACTGTTGGCGCTTGTGCTGTATCCGTTGTAACACTTGGTCGATTCGTCGAATCACCAGCTTCTGCCATAGCATGATGAGTTGTTCTAAAATTTAAAAAAATAAACAAGAAAAATAAAATTTTTCATTTTAAATACTGACAAAAAACAATCCACTTAAAAGAGACTATGAACTCGTAATAATCTATTTATACTCCCCAGATCTATTTATACTTTCCTTTTAATTTGAACAGTGCTATTAAAAATGAGGAGCAAAAAATATTCTTCATAATATTACGAGGTCATCATTAACATTAAATGCAAGTTAAGAAGTGATATAAAATCGGGTTTTCAAACCAGAAATCTATCGTGACAAATAAATTCATCGTTTGAAAACATAAAATTGGTGATGAACTGTGCTCATATTCCCAAAAACGAATGAAATAAACTAACTTTTCTTCGAATAAATATAAACAAACAAATGGTATCAAATTTCGATGAATTTATTTAGTTATGGATCAATTTCAACTTAAACACACTATCATATTGTGCAAAATGAAATGATCAACAGCTCTTACTGCGTTTTAGCTACGAAAAACAAAAATAAAAACGATAAATGAAATAAAAAAAAAAAAAGAATGCTTCACAAGTTAGAATCATATCTTTTGGAGCAGAAAATTTAAAATCAAAATCATGGTGAGCTGCACTAAATAACAGATAAACTTGGTAACACTACTTAAATGAAAAAAAAAAAATGTATATATATAAAATACTACCAACCCTGTTGTAGCATTTGTGGTCTTTAGAGGATGCTTTGTGATATCAACGAAAGATGATGGTGGTTTATGGTACACAGATGCTAGTGAACCAATGTGACAAACAAGTTGATCCAACAATGATGGCTCCAGCAAATCTGTTTCCTCCGAAATAAGAGGTTTTTCAGCTAGCACCACCTAATCAAATTTGAAATTTGGTAAAAAATAAGAAAGAAATTAGAAAGAATCTATTAGCTACCCATCGATCTGTATCTTAGAGCGCATGAGCAAATGTTAACATTTTGTTTTATCTATGTTATCCAAACTATGCTTCTAAATAACACTTCTAACTAAAGATAGTAATCTGCTTACAGAATTCAAAATAGCAAAACTTCAAAAAAAATTTTATAAACTATTTTCTTACGCTGAATTTTATTTCAAATATACTGCTAGTTTAAAAGAATTTTATTAACATTAGCTAGTGACTGAAGAAACTGAAAGCTATTTCGTATTTTGTAATTCTTTTTTAGATGTGTTTAGGTTCCCTGTTGATCATCCTCTCAAATCCATAGTGAAAAACAATTTACTACCTCTTTTGCAGCAGCAGGATCAGCACTTAATAGACGCCAATAAATATATCCACGATCACGCAAATCTGGATTATCACTATCTTGAGTTGTCAAAGATAATACTCGCTGAACAAGCTGTTGTGTTTCACTCGGCCGTTTCAAAAATAGCTTAACTACCGCCGTAAGAAGCTGCAGTTGAACCTACAATAAAATTTATTTTGTAGAAAAATTTAGAAAGATGTGAGTTTTAATTTGAAAATTTACATAAAAAGTTCAGTCATTGCAGGAAAGATTTGCATCAACTTAATATTTTACTGTTTAAAATTAGAATGAACATTAATTAGGGTAAAAATTTTAGTTCACAAACAAAGTAGTAAGCTCAAACAAGGAGTCTTATATGCATAATATGATAAAACAAACAACAGCACATGGAAATTTATAATTGCTCACTCTCACCTGCGTATTTTCATCATGAAAACCTTCAACAAAAGATTCTAGTAGTTCATCCGCATTATCTATACGCTCGGCATACTCTCCAATTATCCAAATCATCGATGCACGAGCTTCCGGTTCATCCAATGTATCCAAGTTTTCACAAAGCGTAGAAATTATACTCTCATATTTATTTGGATATTTACGAAAAATGTCCTGAAAATTCCAAATTATGGTAAAATCCAAAAAAAAAAAAAAAAAAAAAAAAAAACACAAAAAAAATGATATGATTCATAAAACTTGCAAAAGAAAAATTATATCGTTTTGTTTTGAATTCAATCATGAAATAAAAAAGAAAAAATATGAGTAATTACAATAATTACTCATAATTTTTCATGTCAAGCAAGTATGTCATGTAGATATTCTCAAATCAAAGATTTTCTTTTTCTTTTTTTTGCAAATAATAAGCAAATAAAAAAATCTATAACAAACCTTAATAACAACAACAGCTTCCTGAACAACATAATTCACTTTAGTTTGAATTAAATCCAACAGTGTGCTAACACATTTCTCAGCACTTTGCTCTACTTTAATTGCACAACGACCGATTGCACGAACTGCTTTTCTCACAAAATCAACATCCACTTCTGTCGCATACCTATGGAAAATATGCAATTTTTGGTATACTATATAGAAATTGTTTTTGCTAATAAACTTCTAGAAGGAAATAAAGCAATTCATTAAGAATCAAAGAAAAGATAAACTTAGCATTCACAAAGATACTATAATTATCTATTTGAAAAATAATTTTTATATCTACGATACTTCATCTAACACTGCTCACCCTACCATCTTAAATACAAGAGAAGATACTCTAATTCCTCTGAAGCACAATCATAATTCACGAAATGCCAAATTTGCTTTTGAATTTCAAACCATTCTTCTTCAAATTAAAGTCTACAAGACTTATAGAAAATAGTTCAAATCTTTTATTCCGAAATCTAAGTTATAAGAGAAATGCCTAAAAAACAAAACCGCTTTTTGAATAGCTAAATGAATTAAGATATAATACAGTTAAAGAAGATACATCCAATAATAAAGCTTACTCTTTCAGCTCGCTTAATACTTGGTTGATATTATTTTGCTGTGCAAGACGAATCATGATATCAAGCTTCTCCATTTTTACATAGATTGGATCGTTGTATTTCACGAAGAACACCTTCATTTCTTGTTTCAATATTTCTGGTCTACAAAAAGAAATTGAGTTCCAGGGAAAGTTTATTTCGTTCAAAACAGTACACTTCATTCATAAATTGTCCAACTTTACAGTCTTAATCAAAATTAGATCAATTATGGCATTATTGTTAAGAAATTTATTGCTAAGTAAACTGAGTGAGTAAATCTAAGTAAATCTGATATTATAAACACGAACCTTTTCTGCACTATCAAATTGATATTCCGCAATGCTACATACTGAATTTCAGGTTCAGCAGAGAGCAGTGTAACCATTGGTGGTGCAAGTTTCTTTGTTAACTGTCCAATGAATTCTGAACTTTCTGGTAGCATTTCCACTAATTTCATGAGAACTTTCACAGTTGACAAAACAACGGCAGCATTTGCATGAGCTAGACGAGGACTTATACGCTCACAGATGCTGCAAGATGCTATGATTAATCTTCTTAATTGACAAATTTTTCGATTATTAGAATTCAGCAAAATTTTTTCTGTGTAATTCACAATCAAATCAGTTTTCACATAGGATGATTTTTCAAGATAACTGACGAAAAACAAAATCTGTTAGACATAAGATTCAAACAATGAAGAAATGAAAAAAAAAAAAAGAAAAAAAAGTTGTCCACAAAAATTAAACAAACTACTCAATCAGCCTTCAAGAAGATGAGAAATGAAACAGTTGAGGAGAAAAATCGACTGAGGTAGTCAAAAAAGAACGCTCTATGCTTGCTTTGCTTATTATATTATCGATTTTAGCAAAAACTTCGGCAATTTCTGGTGATATAATGTATCACATAACATGCCTTCAGGTAATTATATATCCTTATTAAATTTGTAAGAACTAACTGTAAAAATTAAATACAAATTTGATACTGCGCTTGACAATTGCAAACATTTAACACTTGTAAGTAGATCGAAAATCGACTTTTTCTGTGTCAACAATGTCAGAAAGGAAAAATAATCAAAACAAACTTTTGTGCTTCACGTTCATCTTTTGGTTGATATGATGAAAGAGCATCCAGAATAAACACTTGTCCCCATTCCGTGCATTCATTTAATGCTGTTAGTAACTTATTTATGGTTTGTGAGTTGATCTCGATAAGGACGTGTGATTCATTGATTTCTGCTAACGCTGCTACTGCATTTGCTACTACCTGAAACAACTTCAGGAAAAATGAATACCTTCAATTGAGTCAAAATATTATTTAACAAACATAAGAAAGGAAAAGATATGAGACAAGAATAACTGTAACTTTAATCAATAATTAATTATTAAACAACATTCCAACCTCCCAGTCTGAACGTGGGAGATCAGAACTCTGTATTAGTAGAAATTTCTAATTCCATACTAAGCTAAGAATAAAAAGAAAATAAAACTAAGAAAAATATAAACTAAGAATAAAAGAAAAACAAAATACCAGCTATAACCCAAACTAGCATAGTGTAATCATCAGGTTAGTCTAAATGATCACTCTCCATCTGTTTCACATAGAATGAATTGTACTTTCTATTAATTAATTGTGTGTATAAGAATTAACAAACACTAAAATTACTCTTATTTCGTTGAAGTAAGAGAGAGTATTAGTAAATATGCTGGGTGGGATGTTTATTCTGGATGTTCTTTCGTCATATCAACCAAAGAGAAAAGGGAAGCACAAAAGTTTGTTTTGTTTACTTTTTTTTTTTGGATATATAAACAAGGAAAAGTAGATTGAAATTATACTTAAACTCTTGAAGAGTAATTTCAGTATTTGTTGATAATCCTTAAGAGGAGATAAACAAACAAACAGCTAACCATAGGATTTGAATCACTCAGCAAATCATTAAGTAACTCGACGAATCCTTGATCCTCCACAAGTGATGCGTTGATATCATGCAATTTTGCTACGCAGACTGCTGCAGTCTTGCGAACGTATGGATCCTCATCCTTCATGCATTTTCGCAATGGTTCACATAAATATTCCGTTATCTGAATTTTAAAGTCAAATCTTCCCGAGATTTTCCCGAGATAAAGTCAAATCTTCAAGCTAAGACCAAAATTGTTAAAATCAAGGCCAAAATTTATATATTTTTCTGCATATATTTCCTGTTTAAAAATTTGCATATCTATTTGAAATGATGATCTTCCGTTTTGCTAACTGGACAACTTACATCTAAATCAGAAAAATCCAAAAACTTTTGATTTAAATACATCTTGTTTAAAGAACTTACTTTATCAACTCGTATACAACCCATCGTCCGTACAGCTAATGCTCGAATAAGCGGATTTGGATCCTCACAATCCTTAAAAATTTTTCCTTTCATATCAAAAAAACCTGCTTTGATAATTGAAAAAAAGAATTAAAGAATTTTTCCCGATTTCAGATTACTTCTCAGTATAGAAAAAAGACCGATAATTGACACAGTTTCTCATGTTTAAAGCAATATTAATATTTCAATCCAAAATACGATTAAAACCATACATCAACTTTACGATGTGATTAATCTAAACATCGAAAGGACACAAAACATGCTAATTAGCCGACCTCTCTGGTATAACAGTACCATCAATTGGGAGATGAACAATACCTTCCAGGTAATCGCATATTTTTACAGAAATAGAAAAAAAGCTAACTTTCACAAATGTATTAACCGCCATAATTGCAAGATCTGGTTGACTTTTGGCATAATTCATCAAATAGAGATAAACTAGCTTCTTCAGCTCAACATTGTCCGTTTGCATACAATTCACCACATCCGGAAATAGTGCGCTAAAAAATTAAATTTGTAAATATTACTTGAATTCTAATTTTTGCCACTAATCTGTGTAAATTTAGCCTTTAATCTGCATGAAACTAAACAAATAACATCTTATGTCACACTAAATTGTTACACTGCACAAATGTGCATAGTGTATCGTCTGAAGAACGTTTGCATTGATTATCTGAATACAAAAATTGCTAATTTAGCAAAAAAGTACCTGACATCTTTACCGACAGTCATACTTGCAATAACTTTCTTCACTGCTTCTCTTTTCTTTTCCTTCTTGTCCGAATTCAATTCATTTTTCAGTTCAAATATTTCACCTGCAAAAAAAGAATTGTCTTCTTCCACTCTTCCTCTTTGTGGAGTGAACTAAATGAAATTTCAAGGAACAATGTTTATTTCAGAAACTACTTTTGTCTCTAAAAGCCTCATGACAATGAAATTAGAAAATACAATGAAAAAATTTATTTCAGACAATCTTTTCCCCATTACTTTGGTATCACTCAAATCGTATGAGTAAATCAGTCTTCGTCATTAATATGAATCCTATAATAAAACAATCAAAGATTTAAAAAAGATATATCAAGGAGGCGAAAATTACATTAGACATTCGATTGCATGGTAAAAAGTAAGAAATTTTTGAAATAACAACAATCTGATTAAAATACATATAAAATCAGTACACTTGATTCATTATTTCTTCCTAAAACAATAATTTTATCATAAAAATTAACCTTTTTTGGTGGTTGTGAAATATTTTGAATCGGTCATCACGAATTACCTGCAAAAAGCTGGAAAAAAGTAATTGTAGGAATATTGTTCCATTAAAGTATCATTAGCAAAAAGTGAAAAACGCAAATACTTTCAATAATTTGATAACTGATTCTCAAAGATGGGTAATTTGTGTTATTATGAAATGAATATGAAAATTCATAATAAAAATAATTTTATTTGATTATAGCAAATTTCATCCCAAATCCAATCAAAATAAAGCGCTTCAATTCAACACACTGTTAACAAACAATATTTTATATACATTTTGTGTACTAAATGAATGCTTTGGGAATGACAAATTCGTTTCTAATTTTTTAAATTTTTAATTTTTAACTTGTTAATTATTTTGCAAATTACATAAAAAATTCACCACAACAACACGTCCAACTAATTACTTATATGCAAATTAAATATTTGAAAAAAAAAAAACATTCCGTCACTTTTACATGACCAATAACTTTTCAGTACTAATGGATGATTGTGCTTTTTTACTTCCAGTCAAATTTCCAAATTTAAAAAAGACAATTTTCTGGAAAACACTATGTGATAATAAACTGGAATAAATATTACATTACTTTTTCTAACTCAAAGAACTGGAATAAATATTACATTATTTTTTCTAACTCAAAGCTTAACGTAATTGATGCTAAACTAAAAGATGAAATGAAACCAATTGATACCAAAACAGAAAACTGTAAACTAAATCTTCATAACATTTGTATTCAATCACATCAAACTTTCCATCTTTGCCATAACATTTGGATTTAATTACATCATACACCCTTTCCAATTATTATTTTAAATATTTGTAAACATCGAAAACATTTGAAGTGGAACTTTTCACGCTTATTTAATCGTATAATATCTTCGAATCACTTATAGGATTGAAATTGGGTGCATACAACTATGCATCATGTGTTTCTTTCTTAAACAGGCACTAAACTTTGGCTTCAATAAATATGTTCATTAATAAATAACAAACAACCGACTTCTACTTTAATAATAATTTTTTTTCTTTTCTTTTCAGATAATACATATTCAAACTTGGTCCGAAACAAAACTTGGTCACTTTTAGACAATAAATTTTATCTGCCAAATAATAAGTTTATTTGATGGCAAAATTCTGTATGCTACACAAGGACAAATGTGTTTTGTTTAAAAATACCTGCAAAAGTTAACAAAAAAAAAAAAAAAAGATTGAAGAAAAATAAAGAAAAGAATGACCAGAAGACAGTTTAACTGAAAATGGAAGGAGATATGACAAAGACAAGAGGATAGCACTGCTAATTGAACATTAATGAATGTATTAAAATTTGTGATAATTCATTTCAAAAATACTACTGAAATACGAGAACCAGAAAGAGAGATCAAAATAAGTCTCTAAATTAGTAAAATATTCCAATAAAAACCTTAGAAAATTCAAATAAATTCGATGCATTCAACCAGTAAACTTATTATCTCTTCGAATCATCCTTTCTGTCAAAGTGTTCGAAATTCACGATTGAACTCTACGAAACTTATAAAATCTCTCGTTCAATCATTACATAATTTTTTTTTTCACACTATTAAAACGATAATGTTGACAACAACAATAGCAATAATAATAATAGTAGTAATAATAATAAGTACACTTGTACAAAATACACCTTTTCCCTTTCTTTTTTTCCCTCTCTCTCTCTCTCTTTTTCTGGAATGGTACTTAATACAATAATTATTAGGAATTATAAAATTCCCACATTCTTTATAAAATAGTTACCAAAAAGAAAACAAAAATAATTCAAAGATATAATAAAAATCAACGATTACATTAAAATAAATTACAAAAGGAAACGAATAGAAACAATAGAAACTTTCAAATTTTAGCATCCTACTTCTTTATTTATTACAATCAAACTAAATGATGATGACCCGATAAAAAAGGAAAGAGAATGAAGCTGAAAACCAATTTTATTTTATTGAAAAATCTAATATTTAGAAGAATAGATGAAACAATAAATTTATAGCTAACTAATCAGTGATAAAACACTTCGCTATCTGAAAAAAAGCACTGATATAATATTTATCTTCCTCATTTTTTCTTTAAAAACCTTACCTCCCTATTATCATCTTATCATTGTTGGGAGAATAATCGCAAAATGTTATTTTCTCTCCTCATATATATTTGCAATTTTTAATTTTATTTGTATTAAATTTCTAGAAAGTTAATGCGTATTTTCTCAAAATAAGCCTAAATTACTAAAACATTTGTTTTGATGTTTAATCTGTACAAATAATCCCTCTAATAATAATAATAATAATAATAATTCATTTTGTTAACTTGTTATTAATTTATACTACCGGTATACTATCGCTATAATTTATATCACCATATTTTCATTTTTTGATGATATCACACTGCTTTGTTCATTCTCCTTCAGAAGCAATCTCAAATGAAAAAAAAAAAAAAAAAAGAAAAGAAAAGAAAGAAATCACAATTTTAGCATTCGTTAAAAAATTCCGTTAAAAATTAATAGTTGAAAAAAAAACACCACCTTCAATGCAAAACGCATCATCATAATAAAAGTGATGGAATATATTATCGCTTCCACAATTATATCATATACAAAAAATAATTTGGGGGGATAATGCGCAATATTTATAGCTCCTTATACTAATATTTATTGAACTTATGAAACATATAATCAAAATCAGACAACCTAATATTATCTAAAAATATTTACAGTGGATGGATAAACCAGGATATTATCATTGTCGCACAATAAAGAGAATATCTGGAAAGTCGGATTTTTAAATACACATGAGAAAAAAAATGTACAGTAAAAAGAAGAATTAGAAGATGGTAGTAAGCAAACAACAAAAATGACCGGGTAAACAACAATGCACGCATGAAAATTTATCCCATCAAAGGAAAAGACAGAAATTAAGACATAAAATCATAGCAACTAAATTATCATGCTTAAAAAAGATCCTAGCCATACTACAAAAAAAAAAATAATAATAATAACATTATTTAAGATATCAATAGTAACTGTGAATTAAAAATTTTTAGTTATTAAATTTCAGCTAGTTTAGATTTCTTCTTACAGTGCTAGAACCGTGGTTTTTTTCTATCAAACACTAATATTACATTCAGTTACCAAAATAACTCTATCAGTTTAAATTAATCCAAGTTAAAATTTCTGGAATCATAGTAAATACGATACCATTGCTAAAAATCCGCTAAAATTCAATAATATCATGGATTCCTCTTAAATTAAATATTAGAAGAACTATCAAAATGTTCTACTTCCATGCATAAAAGCATCTTTAAATTAAATTTTAAGAAGTTATGATTATTCTGCTTCTGTACCTTGCTAAACTGTCTTAAATTCTCAAACATGTATACAAATTCCTTTCACACTTCCTGTTCAGAAATATGTGAGCACTTGTGAAAGCCATAATATCTCAAATATTAAAAGAATTTTTACAACTAAACATGGAAATTTCGCGCCTACAAAGACGTAAAAGATTCCCTGAATCAAACAAAGCCTGAACGCAATTCAAGGAACGGAATTAATGAAACTTTCCCTTCGCATTTTTTAAACAGTTATATTTCGCTTTTCTCTTTCCTGCAATATAATTCCTTCAACGTCTTCAACTCTTCAATCAATGCTTTATTTTGATTTTCCAAAACAGCAACACGATTTTCTAAACATTTGACGTATTCCTTTTTCTTCCGCCTGCATTCTTTTGCTGCTTCTCTATAATAAAACAAGGGAAATCAATACTGTGCGAGTTATATACTAATTCATTTATTTCTCAACATATTTTACGATGCATTCAAAGCGATTACTTCAATTCAGCACAATAATAAAGTAAAAGATTGTGAGAAGTCCTAAAACAATGCAATGTTATTCAAGAATCTATAACTGAATTAACACTGACTGCTTACTAATAAGATCAAATAATTAAATAACAACGGTAAAGAGAATCATCGACTATGGAAAGACTACTATAACCGAATTGATATAGTGCATCATGCGTGATGCATGAAAAACTTTTACGTATGAATTCTGTGGCGTGAGAATAGCTCTGAGACTAAGCGCAAAAAAAATCCAAAAAATTTTTTTAAAAAATTATAAATTCTTTGTCATGCAATTTTAGCATCGATTTCTAGCTATTTTTTCCTTGAAAGTTAAAAGTTGTTCACCTGTTCTTCAACAGCCGTACTTGTCTTTTCCGTGTGCTATCATCACTTTCGGTGGCTGTTCGACTGCCACCAGCCATACCAAGCGGTGATGGAGATGATGTGTAACCGGAGATCACAGTAGATTGCCAATCTGCAATTTCACTTATTCTGGTTTAGATTTTGTCTTAACTTAAGGATTACAAAAGCATGCCTGAAGTTTTGAGGAGTAAACACACAAGCAGTTCAAAAGATCTAACAATTTTTTTGGGGATATCTTAGACTTTTGGCAAGCTTACTCTTCAAAACTTAATATATACGATATATATGCATGTTACTATTTATAAGTACATTTCTGATCCAAAAAAACTGAATATGAACCCAAATATTCCTTTTTCTACAGAATAGTTTGTTGTTTGTGCGTTTCTTATTTTAAGTTTCATACTGCTCCATCAAGGTAGACTTGAAAAATCTACTATTTCAAATGTTCTATTCCTTAAATGTTCTGCTAAGAAATCAGAAAAGCCTTGATGTGAGAACAACTAACTTTACTTAGAAGATATTAGCTTAATCCAGCATTTTTCTAAATCATAATTAGTGCAGGTATAGGATTGAAGAAGGCTTGATTTGAAAGGCTTCAAAGAACTAAAACTAATAAGTAATCAAAAAATGGAAACCGCTGCCTTGACTAGTTCCTTGATTTGACGGGACATATTGTTGCTGCTGACCATCACCACCAGCACTCATCGTTTTGAGACCCAAAACTTCGGCATTTACTGGCAGCATCCCTGGAACTGGTCCTGATGATGATCCTGCCGTCTGGCCTAATTCC